AGGCCAAAGATTTAATGAAAGAAGGCCAAAGATTTAATGAAAGAAGGCTAACGATTAATGAAAGAAGGCTAACGATTAATGAAAGAAGGCTAATGATTAATAACAAAATTCCTCTTCCTCTTACAAAACATAGGTAAGCCAAGAATTTGAAAACATTAGTGAAATTTGTTTGATACATTTATAAATGTAACATTATTTAAAACATTATAATACTATACAAAGATATTGAAACTGGTAATGTAACTAATTATAATAAGTACTTCTACAAATTTCAGGTGCTCTTAAAACTAGCTCTTTTTAGACTTCAATAATGTTATGCTTAAATAAGATAAATGGTACTCGTGCAACATTTGAAGTAAAACACACCATGACATTGAAATATATTTCACAACAAAATTTTATACAAAAAAAAGGGCATGAAGCCCTTTTGGATATTCTCTAAATGTTCCAGTGAAGCCATCGTCAGAAGCGAGGAGTTATACCGAGAGAAAATTTATACATCTTAACAACAGATGCACATGCATTCACACAAATTTTAAATGATTAACATAATTAGCCAGCCTGTAATACCTTCTAATTCATAAAATTGATTTACAAAAATCAATTTCTATGATACAAAGTCTTTATTTACCATAATACTACAGTTTTTCATAATTTCCAAAAATATTCTAATATTTAATTAATTTTTTATGATCAACCCAATTAATAAATCTATCAATTACACTAACAGATAGAACGAGTAGTGCTCGCTACATGTTCAATTAATGCTGCTTCATTAACTTCATGTTTATCTACAGCAACTGTATGCTTCTGAACATGTCTGACCAATGTAAGTTAAACCACAGTTACATGGAATTTTACACATACTACAATTTTTTTATGCTGTGGCACATTTTAATTTAATAACATGATGCCTTCCAGCAATTTAATTTAAACTGAAGTTTTTAGCACTAAAAACAAATACACTTAGCTACAGAACCAACAAAAAAGAATTAAATAAGGACAAACAAGTACAAAATGTAAAAAAAAAACATCCACTAAAAATCTGTTAAAACTAGAATATCAGCTGAATCTCACTTTCTACTGTCCAGTTTCATTCAAACGCTGTTAGATAAACACATGACATGGATTTATTTGAACTGAGTATAAATGCTTCATAGATTGAAAGTTTGTTTTTGTGACTTACCTTATTCCCTAACTTCCTGTTTATGAAAGTCATAAAAAAAGATGATACAAAGCCACTGACGTAGATGACAAGTGGTATGATAGCAATACTTTGCTGTAAAACAAACATTCCTAATCTAAATATCAAGGGTTGAGTTTCTGCAATAGAATATAAACATAAATAACACTAGAAAGCACATTACAACAGACATCAATGATATGTAAAAAAATTAGTTACTTACAACTAACCACTAAACACAAGAAAAACATACCAGTTTAATAAAGTTCATATATAAAACTGGACTAAATTAGGCTATGGATGCAAAGGTGAGAAAGATATTGTTGACTTGAGGCATTATGGGATATCTTTTGAAGTGATAGTACTGAAAAATGTTGAATAAGTTCTTAATTATCAAATTACTTCAGTAGTCTAACATTTTTCATAATTCATTATGAAATACAACAAATATGTGAAAAATCAGGCAAATAAACATCTAAAAATGTTAATAAAACCAAGTTTATTTGTTTTAGTAGCAACTAGAAGTTTATTTATACTGGTAAGCTGATTATCAAGGTTTGGTAGCTTATAGCCATTGTATTACATAAGACAAATGATAAAAAATGCACATACAAAATGTACATATTCTTTTTAATTGTTCTTTGGACAAGTGAAACATAATATTTTTCTTTTTTGCTCCAAGTCATTTCTTCTGCAAGTTAGAATTATTTTTTGAAATTGTAAAAATACCTATACTATTTATAAATATGTATTTTCAAAACTTCTGTATAATGTTTTAAAATAACGAAGGACTTAGCCTCAATCACCTATGAATATTTATATCTACTAATTAGATATTTCTACAAAACAAAACCATCTGTGTATTATATATATATATATATATTATTTTTTTTTTTTAACCCTATTAAAAAGCCATGAATAGTCTTTTGAGAACAACATCTTCAAGATTAGTGTGCTGTTATAATATTGATTTACATCTTTAGTTATTTACTGGAAGGCTGAACAGAATTCATTAATCAATCATTTCCCCTCAAAAAATAACTGAAGTCAGATATCATGTAGTAATAAATATTTACTGATGTTGTGGATATACTGGGAAGCTATCAAAATAGTTAGTTATTATAAGCACAGTTAAAAATAACAAACACAAACTCTTAAACAAGAAAAATAAAACAACGAGAAGTTAAAAACTTGCAAGTAGGGATCGTAAAAAAGTAAGCAAACAAGGCTGGAGATACTGTAGACATTAGTTACTAAAACTACAAACCACTATTTTGGCTCTATGCTGTTACCTAGAATTACATTTGGTTTTTAAATTCCCAATTTTTTTATTTATCTTGCTATGTAACTAGCTGATATGGTTCATGATGATTTACTGTAGCTATTGACTATTTGATCACATTAGTACCAGATACAAAATGTTAAGCTGCAGCTGGAGTTTGTCACGAAGGTTTGTTTGAGAATATAGTGAGCACATATAGTTTCTGTGTAACTAAATTCTCTATATATAATGCATAGTAAAGGGCAAGTATAAGACACAACTCCCACTAAGCACGTATAAAATACTACCAGTATAAAAGCAGTCTTTTCAAATAAAACATATACATCTGATACATCGCTTTAAATAAACCTTCATGACTTTTAAAATAATTATTCTATGAATGTGTGTAATGAAACTTAATATTATGTGCATTGATATTTTTTTTTAATCTCTTCACATCATACATAATATAGTGGTTAGCTCCCCAAAGACATTGATTGTATAGTATACAAAGCATTGAGTATCTACATGTTACAGTCATCTAATGTTCATCTTATTATTGGCTGGTAATTCCTGTTTCACCCTGTACTTAAGTTTTTTAAAGGAACATAAGATATTGGTTAGAAAGCTAACTTCTAGTGTAACATCATTTACACTAGAATTATGATGTTTTATTAGCTTATGTAAAATATAGAAGAAACAAATTGACTTTTTAATACCACTACGACCTTTGCAGTACCTTATTTAGTCTTTTCAAAAAGTTTGGGTACAATATACCAAGCCGTTTTTGTTGTAAGCTAGCAAGAGAATATTAAGAAAAAGAGTTACAAATGGGCCGTTTTGAGCAGGTTTCCTTTTCCTTGTAAGTCTAACACGCGTGCTCTTTTGTGCATTTTTTATATGTGTACAGCCTTAGCAGTCAATATTAAAGTGATGTCTGAACTGAATCTTTATTGTTTAATGTGCATTTTGCCCAAACTATTAAGGTTTTTTGCAATTCCTTGCAATCCCTGTTATGAACCATTATTGTGGTTCATGATAACTTGAAAGGATTTCAAAAGGTATTTCATTATTTAAGCTGATAACTTATTTGATTCTAAAGACCAAAATTATATGGCACAAATATGATTAACAACACACTGATACAATTTACAAAAGATCAACAATGAATTCTTACAAGATTTACTAACATGAACTGCAATGTTAACATTTAATGACACAATTTAAATAAAATTTGTTAACAACTTGATTTCTCTACTATAATGTGGTTCTTCGATGCCATGTGTGGTTTGTTGTGAATGTGATATTTGGTTTTTGTCTAATAAAACATTTTTTTGTAAACTGTGTTGGACAATAAATTTTTCTATGTCCTGGTGATTTTAAACACAATGAAACTTCATCCAGATCTTTTTCATAATCATGAAAAGTTTATCATAGATACACTGATACATAGATACATGATACACTTACAGTTTCCAGTTTAAGTGAGTCTTGGAGGTAGAGCGGTGTATAAACTTGAGAAAGATTAACATACAGTCTCGTGCCCATGTAGAGCAGACCAATCTGTAACAAGATTCAAAATACTTATCATTCTTCTTATTAACAAAACATAACAATTAAGGACACCAAGGGGTCTGTTGGTGCATTTAGACTGTCCCATTCACTTCACAAAAAAAAGCAAAAAAACACATTCACATCAAGCCTTGATCATTTAAATATTTATTAAATTTAAATTCCCGTATATTACCCATTTCAAAGGTCAACCACTTTTTTAGAAAAGTAACACTGTCTAAGCTGAAGATGACTCCAACCCTGCCAATATCTATATTTATGTTCCCTTCTCCTACCATTCTCACCATTAAATAAAAAATACAGACATTTCATAAATACTATCAATTCCTTTGAAATCTTGAACATCTCAATCAGATCCCCTCTAACTCTTCTTTTTTCAGGAGAAAAAATAAAACTTTCACAAATCTTAATCTGTTCTCAAATTACAACATTTCCTAAAGGCCTAACCAGTGACCAATAAAACGATAACCTTTTTCAAACTTATATTCATTATTTCTGTAAATACAAATAAAAATCCTGTTGCCCTACCACTGAAAACAGCACACTGCTTGGATTGGTTAAGAGACTGATCGAGTAGTGTACAAAAATCTTTTCCTTCCATACCACTGTTAAGTTTATTCCAATCAAAATAACACTTGTAATTCAAATTATGATAACTCTCATGCATTACCTTGCATTTTTTATAGTTAAAAGCCACTTGCCAGTTATTCACCCCATGATCTAACAGTTTCTTCTCACACAGATAAACTCAAATACTCTAAAAAAAATTCAAATAATACCCTTTCATTACAAAGCAAGTCTATCTAACATTTCAACTATTACACGTAGAATATGTGTGGGTATACATTATTCAAATTTGAAAAAAGGCTTAAAGTTTAAAACAGTAATATAAATACTACAGAAGCTCCAAAACTTCCCCCACATGAAGTTATTTCTATTTAAATTATGGCAAGACTTTAAAATCCTAAAATATACCAACTATTTTTAATCTGATTTTATTAACTCTTTCAGCATGGGCTGAAGTTTAAAACAGTAATATAAATACTACAGAAGCTCCAAAACTTCCCCCACATGAAGTTATTTCTATTTAAATTATGGCAAGACTTTAAAATCCTAAAATATACCAACTATTTTTAATCTGATTTTATTAACTCTTTCAGCACGGGCTCGATCCCTGGGACTGACCTCATAACCATTTTGCTCTTGTTATAGTTTTCATGCTATAACTTTTAAATTAGTAAGTGAATGTTAATGAAATTTGGCAGATTATCAGTAAATATTACAATGCTTTCATTACTGTTATTTACAGTAATTAATCTCTGTACAGTTTCGGTAGATTTGACCTATCTTGCAACCACCATAAAAAATTAGGAAATAAATACAAATTATGCTCTTTCATTCTAGAATGAACACAAATTATAACATGAAAACATGAATGTTTAGACAAAATAGCTTAAATCTCATACCATTATATATTTATATATATTTATTATTTCTATTATATTGACCTTTCAGCCGTGCCTGGCTAACAATACAGATGTTACAATAATGTGGCTCACGTGCACTCATGCTACCGTATCAAATAACATAAAACTGACCTTTGGTTGTGTTTTAGTAGACTAGTATTTTGTAAAATACAGTCACATTTCAGTTATCATGCATTATATATCTATATAGTTATTGCTATTTAGAAATAAGTTCTTAAACTTATTTTCTTAAAACATAGACAATAAATAAAGAAGTAAAGCAAACAATTATCTCTTCTAGTTACGATCTTTGTACTCAGTTGCTGCTTGACACTAAGCCTTTATAAAATTTGCACATGGAGGATATGAAACAAAATATTTTTTTTAGTTTTATATATACATTTGAATAACTAATAAAATCATAAATTACTATATCAATACCATAGAATTCAACTATAATTTATCAAGCTTAGTAACAAAGATATATTTTAGTCTAAATAAATATCAAATTTTGAGCAGACTAAAGGCACACCTGACCTCATTGAAATATCGGTTCAAAAAAAAGAAATAGCACCAAGCCCACTAAAATGGCTGAGAAAGCCACTAGGGGGACATTCTGAGCTTTCGATTGATTATTCATGTTATATATATAGAAGTAAGTGTATACAATGGAAAGAGGTGGGTGGGGTGCCACCTTCACCCGTGTCCCACTTCAAAAGGGTTAAGGGTTACTACAAATGCTGCAGGATTTTTCATAGCAGCTTTTGTAATACATTAAACACACAAATATATCAATATTTCCAGTCAGGGCCATCAGATGGGATCCTGAAAGGGAAAAAGGAAAGAGACAGACACACACATGCTTTGGTAGTATTGTAGACCTGATAAAAAAAACTGTGCCTTTCACCACACCTTATAATAATTGAAGGAAATATTGCATCATGCTTTACAAGGCCTGAAGATCTGATTCACCTAAACTTTTTCAATGTTGCACTTTACAGCTTATTGATATGCAAGCTGTAAAAGAAGTTAACTTTGATGATATCATTGACTCTTTTGCTTTAAAGAAAGCTAACAGACATTTCATGTGAATTTACTATTATATAATTCTTTTTCTTGTATTGTCTTGATTTTTTGGGCAAAGTTGCTAGTTAAAACATGGTTTATATTTTCATTGATAAACAAAAGGTCCAAAAAACTCAAAAGATTACAGAAAGGTTAGTAATAGTGGTGTGATAGGAGTGAAGGTGGAGTGGGAAAGGTAAAAACAGGGGGATTAGTTTTAAAAAAGGAAACTTTAAAAAGGATAAAAATTGTTCCAAAACTTTTGCCCATAGGAGGCATGTGGGAGGGGGCCTAGGGTGACACCAGGGCCTGACTTTTCTTTGATAGTGCCCGATTCTAGAATCAAGAAAGTATTTGTACAGAAAAGATAAAAAAAATCTGTTCATTACATATTGAAAAAAAAAGGGGAGGAGTCATCAAATTATTCTTAAAGTTTTTTGTTTTTTTATATATAAGGGTGTTATTTTGTCCAATGTTGTCAATGATCAAATAAATAAATACATACCTAAAAAAAAATTCAAATTAGCATCCATGAATCATAAGATTGTCATAACTATTGCAGGCTTTAAATTTTGAGTGCTCTCACTTTTAGAGGTTGTTTCCCAGTCAGTTTAAATTGTTGGGAATATATGGACTGCATATATTGTACGACTGGTTTTTATAAATGTTACAAAATTAAATGCATGAGCAAGTACATCTCAAGTTACATATCTGCTAAGTTTTGTTTTATATATTTTGTTCTCAAGTTATTTTCTAGAAGAGTTTACCTGGTAAAACTGTGGTTCTCTGAACCATTCTTTCCATGTCAGATGTCTCAAGTGATCGAGATCAAAATCAACTTCATCACCTTCAGTCTGACGACGACTCTGGGGGTTTGTTTCCTTCACAAACAGATGGAAAGCCACAGAGAAGAGAAATCCTACTCCTAAAACAGTCAGTGTTATATTCTGGAAGAAAGTTCATGGCTTTGTAAGGACTTTTGGTATAAATTTGATATGTAAAATAAATAAAGAATGATACAGAAGTTTTAGCAAATGATTTCAATCACACTACAAAGTAATTAAGATGCAGGTATAAAATATGTCAGATACCAATATAGAAACACACATATGATTTCAATCACACTACAAAGTAATTAAGATGCAGGTATAAAATATGTCAGATACCAATATAGAAACACACAAATGATTTCAATCACACTACAAAGTAATTAAGATGCAGGTATAAAATATGTCAGATACCAATATAGAAACACACATATGATTTCAATCACACTACAAAGTAATTAAGATGCAGGTATAAAATATGTCAGATACCAATATAGAAACACACATATGATTTCAATCACACTACAAAGTAATTAAGATGCAGGTATAAAATATGTCAGATACCAATATAGAAACACACATATGATTTCAATCACACTACAAAGTAATTAAGATGCAGGTATAAAATATGTCAGATACCAATATAGAAGCACACATTTGATTTTTCTATTAGAATATCAGATAGTGTATATATTACAAAGTTTCTTTAGTGTTAATGCTTCAAAAAAAAACAATCTTTACCAGCAGATGATTCCTGTAAGTTAACACTACTTCTAAGGTGTTAATGAAAACAAAAATTTTAACTGGGCAACAAAAGTGTACAAGATAAAAACTGTGTAGGTATACTAGTCAGTCTAGGAGTGGTCCTTATTTTTGAAGTTTTGATTTACATTCTCACCCCCTCATTTTGTTCTAACATAAAAATAAGTAATTCACACCAAATTTTATCTATATTAAATAACATTTTGGGATTGCTCAAGATAGTTGAAATTTTATCTTGTAGCTCACATTATATCTGCATATTCTGAATATTCTAGAATGTTGAAGAACATTCCATATATAAATAATCCATGCTGTCACTTTTTATTTCTGGAATATTCTGTATGACATGACAGTAGTTTCTAGAATTTCTGTGAAGGTATACAAGAACTTAAGCAGATTCTTCTGTATCATTTCAATTGACACTGTATCAGTGTATCGCTGCTAGTGGATACTGCAACAAGTAGTAAGACCACACTTCAGGTGCTTGGTTCAGAAGTAAGACCACACTTCAGGTGCTTGGTTCAGAAGTAAGACCACACTTCAGGTGCTTGGTTCAGAAGTAAGACCACACTTCAGGTGCTTGGTTCAGAAGAAACTGAACTAACTGGAAGCAAATTACCTTCAAATAGACAAGTGCTGTGTGTGTTTTGCTATTAACACAAAACATTACAGAACACAGTTGATGAAAGCTCAAATGTTGTGATCAAGGAGGCTGTAGGTTTTTGGAATGAGGCTTGAATTACAATTCATCCAGAACATCATGCCATTATCAAACTGGAGAAACTTTGTACAAAAATGGACAGAACTAAAGTAAAATTCAAAAGAAAAACTAAAACATAATGAAGCAGAGTTTATCAGTAATCTGAATGACCTTTCTGACATTATGCATAGGGATACCCTGTCTCTGATGAAGATGTAAGAAAACAAAGATTTTCTTCTTGCTCAGAGGGAAAGAGGATGTCATGAATGCATGGTCCAGGTAGATAAAGTTCTTTCTTTAAAGGAATCAAGAGCTGAGAAATGAATTGAGGCAAGTATGGACAGGAAATGGCATGTAGAGCAGGAAGAGCAAACCTTGATGAAACTGTCAGTTGTTGGGAATCATCCCACAGCACTGATGATGAGGTTGGTGGATACAGTACCTGTACCAGTGATGAGGATAGAGAAGCAATTGAAGAATCATCATCTTCTAAACCTAGAAAGAGAGCAAGAAGAAATATTTTCCCTCCCAATTTAGCAGCAAGTATGGACAGAACCAAGCTGAGTGACAGAAAAGCAACATTTGTTCTTACTGCCACAACTCACAGCCTTGGTCATGATATGTAGGAGCTAACCACCAACCGTTCCTTGAGCCAAAGATCTCAACATTGCTTTTGTGAAGAACTTGTAAAAACTTAAAGGAACAGTTCCAGCCAACAGTCCCACTTGTAGTTCACTGGGATAGCAAGCTCCTTAATGATCTTAATGAAAGAACAAGTGGATCATCTACCACTGATCCTGTCTGAAGCAGGAGTAAACCAACTCATAGGTGTTTCAAAGTTGATTTCTAGCATTGAAGAGGCTCAAGCTGCTGCTGTGACACGCTTGCTGGAAGATCATCTGCTACTGATCCTGTCTGAAGCAGGAGTAAACCAACTCAAAGGTGTTCCAAAGTTGATTTCTAGCACTGAAGAGGCTCACACTTCTGCTGTGACACGCTTGCTGGAAGAATGGGAGTCACTGATCATGTAAAGACAGTCTGCTTTGACAACAGCAAGAAACAACTATCACAGAAATGGAGCATGCATACTGTTTGAACAAAGATTAAAATCTAAACCTAGTAAAAGAGCCTTGCAAATATAACAACTACTGAGAAAAACTGTTTAATTAGTTTTAGAGATTTACACATATTATGATACTTTGACTGAAATTAAGTCAATTCTGCTACAACACGTTTCACAAAAGAATATTTTTTTTCTATTAAGGCTGTTGTTTCATTCTGTAAGTTAGAGGACTGGGATGGCTTATCCTCCCCAAAGAAACTGTCCCTCACAAGGCATTATTCTCACCAACCCCAAAATATTATACAGTATACGTGGAGAGAGAGCGGATGTATGCATGAACTGATTCTACTCTACTGTGCAACCATCCAAACAGAACACTCACACACTGAAAGTCCCTTTCACCTATCCTATCTGATTCTGTTTCTCTATAATACTAAAAGCTGGTACATAAAGGATTATATTCAAGTTCAAGTTGATCAATTAATATGTAGAAAATAGACGTTTACTTACTCTGAACAGAGGTGCATCACTTGGTGTTAGATGATGGTCTTTATCTGTACTTCCAACACCAAGAATAACCCATGTGATTACATAAACAGAAATGTTAGAGGCCACAGTAAACGCATACCTAATATATGAAAAATTCCAACAACGAGACTTAGTTAATTACCACTGTTCATATGGGAAAAAACAATTTTAATCATATTAGAATAATGTAAAATATGTTCCTAGTGAGAAACAAAACAGTTAAAAAATATTTCACTGTATACAACACAGAAACATTTCACTGTATTCAACATAGAAACATTTCACTGTATAGAACATAGAAACATTTCACTGTATAGAACATAGAAACATTTCACTGTATAGAACATAGAAACGTTTCACTGTATAGAACATAGAAACATTTCACTGTATTCAACATAGAAACGTTTCACTGTATAGAACATAGAAACATTTCACCAAATGTTTCTATGTTGTATACCACTGTATTCCACATAGAAACATTTCACTGTATACAACATAGAAACATTTCACTGTATTCAACATAGAAACATTTCACTGTATACAACATAGAAACGTTTCACTGTATTCCACATAGAAACATTTCACTGTATACAACATAGAAACGTTTCACTGTATACAACATAGAAACGTTTCACTGTATACAACATAGAAACGTTTCACTGTATTCAACATAGAAACATTTCACTGTATTCCACATAGAAACATTTCACTGTATTCCACATAGAAACATTTCTCCGTATTCAACATAGAAACATTTCTCCGTATTCAACATAGAAACATTTCACTGTATAC